TAGATAGATTTTCTCATTTTCGGGAAAATGAATTATCGACTTTTGGGAAGTAGATTTTCGTATTTTCGAAATATTACCTAATTTTGGGAAGTAGATTATCATAGAAAACGGGAAATTTGTATCATAAAAATGGGAAATATCTACTTTCAGGAAGTTGGTTAGATAACCAAATTTGCAGAAAATAGATTATCATAGAAAACGGGAAATTTGTATCATAAAAATGGGAAATATCTACTTTCCGGGAAAGTTGGTTAGATAACCAAATTTGCCGAAAATAGATTATCATAGAAAACCGGAAATTTGTATCATAAAAAATGGGAAATATCTACTTTCCGGGAAAGTTGGTTAGATAACCAAATTTGCCGAAAATAGATTATCATAGAAAGCGGGAAATTTGTATTATAAAGAATGGGAAATATCTACTTTCCACGAAAGTTGGTTAGATAACCAACTTTCCCGAAAATAGTTATCATAGAAAACGGGAAATTTGTATCATAAAAAATGGGAAATATCTACTTTCCGGGAAAGTTGGTTAGATAACCAAGTTTTGAAATAGATTATCATAGAAAAAGGAAATTTATCATAAAAATGAAATATCTACTATCCGGGAAAGTTGGTTAGATAACCAAATTTGCCCGAAAATAGTATCATAGAAAACGGGGAAATTTGTATCATAAAAAGTAGGAAATATCTACTTTCCGCGAAAGTTTCTTAGATAATCAACTTTCCCGAAATAATTATCATAAGCAGAAATTTGTATCATAAAAAATGTGAAATATCTACTTTCCGGGAAAGTTGGTTAGATAACCAAATTTGCCGAAAATAGATTATCATAGAAAACGGGAAATTTGTATCATAAAAAATGTGAAATATCTACTTTCCGCGAAAGTTTCTTAGATAACCAACTTTCCCGCAAATAGATTATCATAGAAAACAGGAAATTTGTATCTTAAAAAATGGGAAATATCGACTTTCCGGGAAAGTTGGTAATCTACTTCCCCGAAAAGTAGATAGATTTTCTAATTTTCGGGAAAGTAGATTATCGACTTTTTGGGAAAGTAGATTTTCGTATTTTCGGGGAAATATTACCTAATTTTGGGAAGTAGATTATCATAGAAAACGGGAAATTTGTATCATAAAAAATGGAAATATCTACTTTCCGGGAAAGTGGTTAGATAACAAAATTTACCGAAAATAGATTATCATAGAAAACGGGAAATTTGTATCATAAAAAATGGGAAATATCTACTTTCCGCGAAAGTTTCTTACATAACCAAATTTGCCGAAAATAGATTATCATAGAAAACGGGAAATTTGTATCATAAAAAATGGGAAATATCTACTTTCGCGAAAGTTTCTTAGATAACCAACTTTCCCGAAAATAGATTATAAATATTTCCCAAAAAGTCGATAATCTACTTCCACGAAAAGTCGATAATCTACTTTCCCGAAAAGTAGATAATCTATTTTTCGGGAAAGTAGATAACCAACTTTCCCGGAAAGTAGATATTTCCCATTTTCTATGATACAAATTTCCTGTTTTCTATGATAATCTACTTCGGACCAATTTGGCCCCAGCTGACCTATTTTGCCTCAACAGGATCTATTTTGCCCAAACCGGACCTATTTGGCCCAAACTGGATCGATTTGGCCACAACCGGACCTAACTTGGCCCACCCTAGTCCAACCTGGCTCACCCTGGCCCTCCCTCCCCCCCCCCAAAAAAATAAATTATATATATATATATATATATATATATATATATATATATATATATATATATATATATATATATATATATATATATATATATATATATATATATATATATATATATATATATATAGGACTTTTTATCAAAGAAAACAGGAAACTCTATCAAAGAAAATGGTTCTTTTTTTTCTTCAAAGAATAGTATATATTCGATAGCTAAATCTCTTTTATTGATTTTAATTCCTTAATTCGTCTCCATTTCTCTAAGAAGAGCATTACTGCTTCTTTTCTTCATCATTAACAAGACAAGTGATAGCTACATTTGTTTGTGACAGTTAAGGATAATAAGAAAGGCTGTACAAAATACTGTTTATTTTGTGTTCATAATAAAACATTACATAAAAAATTGTCTACAGCTGTGATATTAAAAGAAAATTTTCTTATCACTCCATCTCTGTTGTGTCAGTGAAAAAAGCAAAGTTGAACACCTCGGTGAATCAAACCTAACTTTTGAATTACATAACAAACTTGATCCTTGATTTTGTTTAATGGAATGTATGCAGCCAACTTTTTTCTTTTAATATTTTAATTTGAGATTACATAAACTGACTAAAACCTACAATGGGTTCAAAAGAAGTTCTAACACCATGGCCATATCCCCAAAAAATTTAAAACAATTCGTATTCCATGAGTTATACATTTTTTCACCAAGATTCCAAATAATTTATTTCCTTCAAGTTATGAAATACCATGAAGCTCAGCATCTACAAATTTTGACTTGACAAAAAGAAAATAATCTATATGATCACTAGATTACTTCATCCCAAAATATTTGCAGCATGAAATATTTTAGATACAGTGCAGCACAATATGTTTTGTTGAAAAAATAAATGCATGATGTACTCAAAAAAAATTATAAAGGTATTTGCTGTGCCATATAATAATGGTTATGGTGTATGGCTTTGAACCATTACCACAAGCAAAAAAAAAATTACTTTAATCTAAAAATAAATATAATACCTTCAAAGGAAAAATGGGATATTAAATAAATACAGAATGAAAACTTACTGCTAATTATGTTTCAAGGGACAATTTAAATTATCATATCATAAACCCTTTCACATCAATTGTTGCACTTTAGAATTTTATTCTGGCTACTGCTTGAAAACCTACAGGAACCAAAGGGTTAACTTTATTGAATTTAAAATTTGTATGATTTACTGCTTTTCATTAAAACAATAATTAGAGACATCCAAATTCATGTGAAACTAGATGAAATAGTCAATTTCCATATGTACAGTACAGTACAGTATACGTACTGTTATCAGTTATGACAGTGAAACGTCAAAAATCCAACATAATGGGGTTTGGGAATTTGCCACGTTTTAGAAACTAAAAGTGTAATTTTACCCAGTTTGCTCTATCTACTCAAAAGTTTTGTGTTATTTAATGTAATTTACATGTAAAAATATAGTAATTACATAAATAAATGTGCTAAAAAACAAACATTTATTCACTTCTAAAAAAGTATGCATTGTCTCCATTTGATATATAATTAATGAACAAAAGAAAAGGGCAGAAAATTTTCATTTACTTCATGGTTACAAGCCCCATATACACTACTCTTGCATTTTACAAAGTTAGCACCACTGGGCAGTGATCCCATAATAGAAATCACGGAGCAAAAAACTTATAATAAAAAAAAAAGACTGGGTATGCACCACCACAAGCTCAAGAACTACAAACAGTGCATAAGAAGCAGCACAGTCAACCACAGCACTGGTCAACAGAGGAGACCGTATGGTAATTATGAGGTGGTGTTTTGAATTTTGTAATACATACTTGCCATATTTCAGAAAAAAAAATACAGCCAATTTTTTTAAGCTTTTATTTTATGAGTGGCCAGTTTTTGGAGTTCCACTGAATAAACATCCTAAAAATGGCAAAAAAATTTGCACAATCAAACATTGAATTTAATATTGGTGATTACTAAAGAAGCAATTATAATACAGAAATTATAAGAAATACTGCTAATCCCTTCAAAAGTGGGATAGCCTGTACATGCATACTCACTTATCTTCATCTCTTGAGTTCACCTTTTTCAGTACTGGTCATCATGGAAAATGTCATTCAGGCTCTGGTATGGTTTCTTGTTAACGACTTCTAGGTTTCAGTTCATCATAGCACGATCTTAGGAAAATGTAATTTTTCTTTTGTGGGTTGAAATATTCATGGCCCTGCAAAAAAAAGAGCCGTGTCAGTATTTATAAATCTAGCAAAGGACAAAATTCATCACTGCACCCTTGAATCCTGTAAACATAAAACTACAGTCAAACAAAGCAAGCACCATATTTAACAGCCATACACTAAAGACACCGAATGTCTTAATGAAAGAAGCAAATAAATAAAAAATAAAAAATAGCTTACCTTAGACCAGTCATATGATACAGCATAAGCAAATATCTGGCCATTGTGGTTAAATGCACAACATGAGATGGGCTGCTCCATAGCTTCTGAGTTCTTGAGCTTTGTGCGAGCATCTTTGTCCCAAAAACTGAACCTGCCATCAGAGCCTACAGTTGCCAGTGTACCATGAACCGGGTGAAATTTGATATCATTCACCTGTTGGGAAATAAATAGAGAGTTTATGGGAAAAATCAACTTCTATCCAATACGTCACTTCTCGTATCAAAATGCACTACAGTAGTCATTGAAGAATCTTTACCAAAACCCTGATCAGCTCTTACTTCCTCATTGAAAGTAGGTGTCATAGGCCCAATTGCCACTGAAGACAACTATTGGGATATTACCACAATATGGTGGGATTCACTGTGTGTTTCCTGAATGAAATTACTCATATTAGATATACCTGTGTATCAACCAACACTCATTTATTTATTTCATTTATTTAATATTAAACCAAGTACAGGTAAGACTACACCTGCAACTTACTGCATATATATCTTGGAACCCATTAGAGGTACCATTTGAGCGATGGCACTTGAAAGTGAAATTATCTCGTGGAGATGCAGTGACAATGTACTGTATTGCCACTCGTCCTTCAACACTGCCCAGAGCAAACCCTGCTGGGGCACCTGCACCCTTCTTGTCTTTAAAGATTGCAACACACCGATGCTGGAATATAAAAAACAAAATTATATATATATATATATATATATATATATATATATATATATATATATATATATATATATATATATATATATATATATATATATATATATATATATATATATATATATATATATATAAACAAACTTTTACAATGCATGAATTCATGTATTGTATTCAGTATTTAATGCATATATATGACCAAAATATTGTTACAGTATTTGATGTTCTGGAAAGGAATGTGTCAGAATTGTACAGGTGACAATAATCTGGGCTGAGAGGTACAACATAATTTCAAAGCATACCTGATATTTAAGAGGCGATTCAATTTGCTTGAATTCTTGTGGTTGTGTTTCAAGTTGATATACAATTAAGTGACGATTAGCAGTTCCAACAACTGCCATTGGGTACTCCACATCAGCACAGTAACACCGCTCAGGTAGATTGATGGTCATAATTGGCTGAGGATTCCTTGTGTCCCAAAACTGTAATTACAAAAGTGAACAAGAAAATTGGTAAAATTGCCTCAACACTATTTACTATTATACCGGCATGTCTTGGCCTATGACCTTCTTTATAGAAACTGGTGAGTTGTTCATGAGACATCATTTGTTGACACTAACCTTTCTGTAAATTATCATTCAAATCCCTTCCTTCACTAGATCAAAATTGATAGAATAAACACAATGTGGGTCAGATAGACAAAGTCGAAAATTAATGTGCTTTCACGTGGAAAACAGAATAACTTTTTTGGTGAATATATAAAACAACCTTTCTTGAATGCAACTTCAACTTAATAATCCAGTGGTGAAGCCAAGTTACTAGGCTCTACCTAGACTGAAAACTAGGAAATTCCTAGTCTATCAACATACCCTCTTCAAGCTTCTTCATGGTGGTTATATCCTTCATACATCCCTTAAGATCAAGAGTTCTTCCCTGACCAGAATATTTTGGTATGTGCAAAGGGTTTGATGTAAAACCCCCTCTGACACAGAAGTTAAAATACTTTACTGAATATTACAGCTATGTAATCTTGCAGGACATAAGTACTGAATTAACATAAGTCTCTCTCATCTTCCACCTTAATCCTACCTAAACAACTTTGAACACCCAGGGAATTAGAGAAGAGACCTGATTAAAAAATTAAACCAAGATACAAAAACAGATGATCAGACAATCTCTACTCCGTTATGGAGCAGTAAACCAGAAAGCCAGGATCCAACACCTGAATATAGTGGGTTGATCCCCAGACTCATTAAAACCCTTGCTTAACATGGGGAAACACCAGAGTCTAAGCAGGGAAACATTTATATTCTTAGCTTAACCTAAAACCTACAAGCTAAAGTTCTCACCCCATTGCATTTCTACTATATGATAATTGGTTAAGTTTTGAAAGTTATATTCAATTAAACTCTGGGGCAAGGAATAGCCATATCCAAGCTTGGAGCCCTCCAACTGGATGGAAAAAAGCAGAATGAAATACAACATTTGTTAAATGTCACAAACCGTGACTCATGATTTCATGTGCCCAACAATCGACCTTGTTCATTCAGAACAGCCACAGTTTATTCATCTGAAAATAAATACTAAGCCTGCCTTGAATTCTTATATATATGATATAATTCAATAAATATTACAAAATTATGCTATATTTCGTGTCCAATTCAAAAAAAAAAATATATATATATATATATATATATATGCTGATAACCACAAGGAAAGAAGAAAACACGAAGTTCCCAAGCGCTTTCGTGTAATTCACATCTTCAGGGGTGAGTACAGACTAGAGAGAGTAATACAAATCAAGGTGTATATATACAGAGGAGGGTGAGACCAGGTCCACAATGGTCAGGTATTAGGTAATGACCCTACTAATCTTTAAATAGCACACAACGGTTGGTGGTCAGGTCAGATGGTCAAGTGACCCGGCCTTCTCACCTGATCACAAATCTTCTTAATTACAAAATTGTCCAGCTTGTACATGCCGTTACTCAAATTCATGTTGAATGCTTCGGTATGTTTAATAAGACTAGATTCTATGATGTTCCTACTGTCAATTGACTTACATGGTAATATTGAGGAGGCATTATCCCAGTCAATGCAATGCTTGTTATCCCTCAAATGAACAAACAGAGCATTGGATTCCTGGCCTGTCCTAACACTGTATTTGTGTTGTTTAATTCTAGTTGCAAGATCTTTACCTGTCTGGCCTAAGTAAAACATATTACATTCCTTCATCGAACTCATCAAACTATGTATTAAGGATTGCAAATTCGAATTCAATGGGGAATATCATGCTCAAAAATTTGGTATGGCAATGGGTAATCCACTCTCACCTGTATTAAGCAACCTATATATGGAATTCTTTGAAAAGAAACTATTAAGTAATATTTTACCACCCTCAGCAGTCTGGTTTAGATATGTTGATGATGTATTATGTCTCTGGCCATGTAATGAGGACCTAAAAGCTTTCCTACCACAACTTAACAACTTAGCCCCCTCGATCAAATTCACTGTGGAATTAGAGCAAGACTGTAAATTGCCATTCCTAGACTGTCTGATACACAGAATAGGTAACACTTTTAAGTTCAGTATGTATAGAAAACCAACTAATGTGTGTTCATACATTCATTATTATTCTGCCCACCATAATAAAGTCAAACAGTCAGTATTTTCAACAATGTTTTTACGTGCCTTGAGAATTTGCAGTCCGGAATTCATCGATGAGGAATACAAATATATATATAATATTGGCTCAAACCTTAAATACCCTAGATCTTTCAGAGACAAATGCTTAAACATTACTAAGAAAACTTTTTATAGAACTGACCCCAAGCCCACCCATGACCATAAGAATATCTTAATATTACCATTTCACAAAAATTTCTCACACATTCCTGCACAGCTAAAAACCTGGAACGTCAATGTGGCATTTAAAAACTCATGCACTGTTAAACAAATGTTAATCAAGAACTCCCCCAACAACACAATTGGTTGCATTTATAAAGTTCCTTGCAGGGAATGTAATATGTTTTACTTAGGCCAGACAGGTAAAGATCTTGCAACTAGAATTAAACAACACAAATACAGTGTTAGGACAGGCCAGGAATCCAATGCTCTGTTTGTTCATTTGAGGGATAACAAGCATTGCATTGACTGGGATAATGCCTCCTCAATATTACCATGTAAGTCAATTGACAGTAGGAACATCATAGAATCTAGTCTTATTAAACATACCGAAGCATTCAACATGAATTTGAGTAACGGCATGTACAAGCTGGACAATTTTGTAATTAAGAAGATTTGTGATCAGGTGAGAAGGCCGGGTCACTTGACCATCTGACCTGACCACCAACCGTTGTGTGCTATTTAAAGATTAGTAGGGTCATTACCTAATACCTGACCATTGTGGACCTGGTCTCACCCTCCTCTGTATATATACACCTTGATTTGTATTACTCTCTCTAGTCTGTACTCACCCCTGAAGATGTGAATTACACGAAAGCGCTTGGGAACTTCGTGTTTTCTTCTTTCCTTGTGGTTATCAGCATATACCTAGATCACGCGCACCTACAGTGATTTACTTGTATATATATATATATATATATATATATATATATATATATATATATATATATATATATATATATATATATATATGTATGTATGTATGTATGTATATGTATGTATGTATGTATGTATGTATGTATGTATGTATGTATGTATGTATGTATGTATGTATGTATGTATGTATGTATGTATGTATGTATGTATGTATGTATGTATGTATGTATGTATGTATGTATGTATGTATGTATGTATGTATGTATGTATGTATGTATGTATATATATATATATATATATATATATATATATATATATATATATATATATATATATATATATATATATATATATATATATATATATATATATATATATATATATATATATATATATAGGGATGAAATGATCAAATTATTAGAGTATGTCTGCAACGTCTCATTGTAACTCAATGGGAACAATGATAGAGAGGAGCATGTCCTTAAGATCACTCCTGAGGGTATGCTTTACCTGGCTAATGGACCTTGGAGCAAGACCATGAGGGAAAAACCCTATTAAGGTATAGAGGTACTGTATATCAGTCTACCAAAATTTAGGATGAGAAGGACTCTATTATGATAAAATTACCAAACATGAAGGACCACTAAAAATACCCAAAAATGCGTAAATCAAACACAATTTTCTCATAAGAAATAAAAGAAACGGTAAGGTTAGGAGTGCTGAAAAAAGTTAACACTATACTCTAAGTACCTAAAATTATAAGAAACGTTGAAATTCCTTTTAATGTTGGAACAAGCACTATATAGGTCCTTACTGTATGGTATGGTAGGGTAGGGTGACTGAATCTAATGTGTTGGTCCTTATGATACCCATTTTGTTGCTACAAGTAAAAAAAAGCACACCATAGTACAGTGCATCCTCTTATAACGTCGTCCCGCTTAACGTTGTTTCGGTACTACGTCGCTAAATTTTAGAGACCAAAAATTTTTTTAACATCCCGAGGATCTGAAACTACATCGTTTTGCGTCGTCACAGACTACTTTCTACGGCGCATCACCCGCTCTTGTCTGGCTGTGCTACGCTCTCTCGGCTCGGCGCGCTGCCCTCACTCGCAGAATGTCACAGCGTTCCCAAGCGACGCCAAGTCAGTCTCTGTTACGACTTCACATCATTCATGTGTGCTTAAGTGCTTTTGCTCTAACTATCCGGACCAATGCTGACAAGATTAAGGTTAGTGCTGGAAGTGGTACTACTCTCAGTGCAACTAAAATAACTTGTACTAGAAGTACTGTGATGGCAAAAGTGGAAAAGATGCTGGTTATGTGGATGGAGGACCAGAATCAATGCAATGCCCCTGTGAGCCTTATGGTTATCCAGCATAAGGCCAGATCCTTGTTTGACGACGTAAAGGAAGAAGAGGGTGAAGGATCAAAGAAAGAGTCCTTTACGGCCAGCCGAGGATGGTTTCAACGATTTAAGCGCAGGTATAACTTCCACAATATTAAGATGACTGGTGAAGCTGCCAGTTCAGATACGGTTGCTGCCGAGACATTCCCGCCAGAATTCAAACGGATTATCTGGGAAAGAGGATACTCATCGAAGCAAGTCTTCAATGCGGATGAGACTGGTCTCTTTTGGAAGAGGATGCCTGAGAGGACCTATATCTCCAAGGAGAAAAGAGCACCAGGTTTTAAAGCGGCAAAAGACCACTTGACGCTGCTGCTTGGCAAGAACGCTGCCGGCGACTTCAAGCTGAAGTTGATGTTGATTTCTTGCGCTGCTAACCCATGGGCCCTGAAAGGTTACTCTAAGGATCACCTTCCTGTCATTTACAGGGCAAACAAAAGGCATGGATAACCAGTGCCATATTTAGCTAGTGGTTAAAGGTGTATGCCATCCTTGCAATGAAGGAATAATGTGCCAAGGAGAACCTTGACTTCAAAATTCTTCTGATCGTTGACAATGCTCCAGCTCATCCTCCCAATCTCAACGACTTGCATGACAGTGTTAAGGTTGTATTTCTGCCTCCCAACACGACAGCACTGATGCAGCCAATGGACCAAGGCGTCATCGCCGCATTCAAGGCGAATTATTTAAGCCGTACCATGGTCCAGCTGCTCAAGACTACAGACGGAGATAACAAACCCAAGATCCAAGAATATTGGCGTGGCTTCAACATTCTTCATGCAACTGACACATTGGCAAGGCACAGGAAGAGGTTTCAGAAAGTTGCCTGAATGATGTTGGGGTATATTGTGGCCCGAGTGCGTCAACAGTTTTATGGGATTCACGGACTTAGTCCCAGCTGTGAATAGGGATATCCTCAGCTTGGCTAGACAGGCAGGCTTTGATGAGCTGGAATCAGAGGATATTGAGTATGTCCTGGCATTCCATACAGAAGAGCTCACCAAAGAAGATCTGAAACAACTACAGTAACAGAACACAGTCCAGTTGAAGACGACGACGACAAAGAAGAACCTCAACAAACGCTATCTTCCAAGAGGATGGCAGAATCGTTCAACATGTTCCAGCAAGCAATGCAAATCCTTATAGATGACGACCCAAAAAGAGAACGTAGCTCAAAGGTCTTGGTTGCTACACTGAGATCTATAAGGAGAAGTAGAAGAGTAGCACCAAGTAGTCAACACTGGATTCATTTGTTCATCACAGGATGGCAGAAACAGTTTCTTCACAACAGCTGGCAGCCGAGAAGGAATACAAAGCAGCCGAGGAGGAGCAAACAACAACGTAGGAGGAGCAAACTTCAACGGAGGAGGAACAAACAGCAGCGGAGGAACCCCAGTCAGCGCAGGAGGAGGATGAGGCAGCCGTAGAGTCTCAGTGACTGGTCACCCTCCTTTCCCGCCCGCCTCTGCTCCCACCCGCCTCCGCTCCCACCCTCCTCCTCCGCTTCACTACCCACCACACACTCGCTCCACCACCTCTGCCCGTCGGTGAGTACCGATACAAACTTAACAGTTATATATCTACAGTATATACTATTTTCTATAGAAATGGCAATGATTTTCTGTATATGTAATGTTTTTCATGGGGCAAAGGGAGGCTCAGGAACGTAACTCCTGTATTTTATCTATTTTTTATGGGGAAAATTGATCCGCATAACGTTGTTTCATATAACAACACGTTTTTAAGAATGTAACCCCAACATTAAGTGATGACTTACTGTACCTGTTTATGCTCGGATGCTAAAAATTTCCAGTTTTCCCTCATCTTTAGGTACAGTACCTACTGTACCATTATGCTAACTGTCTCCTTTTGGAATCTGGTGTGAGGATGTGGGATATTTTATTTTATTTTTTTTTATTTAGCTTACTAAATTATTTGATCCTAGTCACACAAGTTGGAGGCCTGATAATTTAGACGTACAAGCTATACAGAGTTACTTTATCCTAACATGACGTAATCAATATATTTCTTGACCACTGGTTCCTTATCTCAACCACATAATTTTCAATGAGGGTTTGCCTTGTTCCTACAACAAACACAAGCCATATGTGCCTCTTACTTTAAGAGTCTTATCCCAAGACCCAGTCATGATGCAGGAATATGAGGGTGCCTTGATCCAGTGTACTGTTTTTACTGGAGCATCATGCTGGGCAACTTGCATCTTCTGGTTGCTGCCCAAGTCCCAACAATGAACTGTCTTATCAGCACTCGCCATAAACACCTGTTTCAAGAAAAAAACGAAAGAAAGTAACAAGATATAGTAATGCTTTACAGGGAAGGGGAGAGATAACTGGGGTAGATTTAAGGTGAAATTTGCCAGATTCCTGTGACCCCTCCAAGTAATCCCCAGAAATTTATCTAAATTATAATACAACTGGACCTCATGGTGACCAAACATGTACAGTACTGTACACCATGATTAGGAAATTCATAGGCTGTAGTTGTAGTACTGCTACTGACCTTGCTGCCATCATCATGCCAAGCAACATCCATCACAGGCCCACCCATGGTCTGCTGTGCTTTGCCAATGGTCTTCCCATCACGCTGTACCTCCCAGCAACGTACCTGTAATTATATAATCATGTGGAGTAGTTCTGAGTAAACAGAAAGGATTTAGGATAAGAAGTTGTGGAATAAATTTGAAAAATAATAAAGAAGTAGGTGCGCTGCTTACAATAAGAACAAGATAAGTACCATAAGCAGATATGGACTTTTCTAAGTTTTTGGCTGTTTAACCCTTAAACAGCGGTCTTCATCAGTGGAAGTTAGGTGTAGGGACGGCAGCCATCACCACTGGATGTTTCAGTTTCCTTGAGAGTTCCATAAATGCGCATGTGGGGGATAAGTAGGGAATCCTTGGTGGTTGGTTGAAGGTTAAGATATGTAAGAAAAAATGATGAATACCTGACTGTACAGTACAGTACTATCAAATTTAAAATGACATAATGTATATGAAATGTGAATGGTTTTGAAAGTGATGTAAAACAGTTTGCAGTAATTCTGGGAGTTTAAAAAGGTAATATGTCTCCAAGTCCAGTCAATATACCACAGTGAAGCAGATAAAAAGAGATTAGAGCAAAAATGGATATTTAAGCATAGTGTATTACAGTAGCAAACACTTCCCCCCCTAACACAAGGGTACACAGAAACTAGAAGTCGATAATTTTCCATTTGTGAGTACAGTATCTCTGAACAGGTTAACCCCTAGGCTTCGAGTCATGCCCTGTGACATGTGTCTGTAGAACTTCGGGTCACGTCCTGTGACGTGTGTCTGTAGAGCTTCGGGTCACATCACATAACATTTTGATTTTCCCCGGTCCTATTTGAATAAAAAGAGAAGTCCTGGCTAGATTATGTTGCCAAACACAGTAGATATTTATCTTTCACTCACTCACACATGAGAGCCTCCCAGTCTCTTCTCGGGAGCTTCTCACCTTTTGTGATGTACAGTAGACATCTTGCCCTTGGATTTGACTTATGTCACCATGTGTTTTTACCCTCCAACCCCCATGCACATGTCTAGTAGTGTAATCAATTACTAGAGCACTAATAATGATTGTTAATAGTGTAAATAGTAATAACATAGTAAGCCAAGTGTCCTGTTCCTCAGACTGCCTACAAATTAGTGTTGTTTACCTCTTTACCACTTCGTCACACACACGCCACTTCATGAACAATCTCGATTCTCCCTAACCCTGGTGTTGCCAACCTTTGGCAAGGACATATATTTATTTCCTGTTTATATCACTCATGGCCAGTTTGCATGACTAAAATTGCTTTTTATTTGTTTTTTAAATGTTCCCGAATATACCCGCACAGGGGGGGAAGGGTTTGCCGACCATAGCCCAAACCCAGGGGTTAAGAAATAAACAATTAATAAGCTCATCAATTATCAAACTAGAAAACAAAGAGAAAGAATTTCTAGAAAAGCTGAAACAAGTTATTCACTTACATTATTATCCCAGCTTCCAGCAACCAGAAAATCTTGGGGAATAGATGGTGGAGAGAATGCCATGCATTGGACTGAATCATCCGGTGGATTCACAACCTGTATGTGCAAAACAACATGAAAAATTTATTCTAACATTCACATGAAATCATTTTGCATATATAATATCCAGAGTTGTAAAGTAACTAAATAAATATACTTGAGCACCGTAGTCAAGTAACAATTTTGGGTATTTTTTAAAAAGTACTAATTTTTTTTAGTAATATTACTTAAGTATGGTTTTCTAATACATTTACTCCAATACAATTGAAAAAACAAAAATCATTACTCGTTAAATGCAAACTAATAATATAGTATATTTTAGTTAATTAATTATTAGCCATTGCAAAAGAGTTGGGGTGGAGGGTATGGTGTGGATGTGGGGAGACACCACGCGGTCACAAACCTAGAGGTTAGATTTTGACAGACGGTTTCAAGATATAGCAACAATAGAACCTGTTGTAACATATACAGTATGTGTTTTCCGTTTGGTAAAGACACAAATGTTTAAAATATTGCATCTAGAATGGTATCAGTATTTAACATGGACATATCTGAAGTCGAAAATGAGCTTTTGAAACTTCAAAATGATATTCAGATGAAATCCATGGCAACAGGAGGAAGTTTCTGGAACCTTCTCAGTGAAGAAAAATATCCTAATGTCAGAAAATGTGCCATGTACCTAACAACATTTTTGGGATCAACCTACCTTTGTGAATCAACAAGTTCACACATGAAACACATCAAATCCAAATACCGATCAACAATGTCAGATGAACACCTGGATGCTTGCTTGAGGCTAGCAGTCATCGTCTACAGTCCTAATTACACAAAGCTGGCAGACAACATGCAATGCTAACCATTTCATTAGTGAAGTGAGTGTATGCTTTTGTCATGTTAATATATTATAACAGTTATTGAAAAATACTCTCTCTCTCTCTCTCTCTCTCTCTCTCTATGAACCTGCATATTTTATGGCAATGGGAGGGGGTGTTATGGGTGAATATTAGGCTGGTAGATCGCATCAGGGTAACTGTGGAAAAAGTAGATCACATCACACAAAAGGTTGGCCACCCCTGGGTCCAGGCCATACAAGTCCTGGGTACTGGCAACCCTGAAGTTCCAATCTGAAGACTTGTCGACACTGTACAGGAGTTATTTGATCCACGTGTGCAACAGAAGCCATCAATTTTATTTACTATGAATGATTAATATTATTATTATTATTACAATTTCACCCCCAGGCCCCGATGTGGGTCAGTGACCTGTGCCCGGGTGGGCCAATTCCCCTTAAAAAAATAAAAAAATAGAAGACAGAATAATAACTGTCTTGCCTCCATGTTATTCATATTGACATGGACAAGACACTGAGGAAGATATATTTATATATGTATTTCTTTAAGAGGTAAAACAGACACTAACCTCAAAATCCTTCATCGGGTTTGCAGACGCTGGCGTGGAGGTCGATAACCCAAACCCACTAAATCCGGAGCCACTGCTCCCAAATGTACTTGGTGTAAACATTACCTGAAATTATATTATAATAAGATGCACTATATGTCACCCAACTTCATTAACTTCCAATTCTAAAGACTGATGCAAAATAAAATCCAAAAGGGAACAAAATATTTATCAATAGAATCAAAAGATTTGGTCATAAGTATGGGTTCATATACATAGTGGTGGATGGCAAGGTCCTTCAACAATTTGACAACACCTGATCAGAAGTGTGGGTGGACACACATGCTTCCCAAGCCCAGCTGACTCCAATAAATGATGTGTCACTTCTTAGGACACTCAGTCAGGAGCAGGAAAAATAAATGCATCTACTGTACAGGTATTGATGTGCACCACACTCTTGTGCTCAAGTTAAGTATGTAAGCAGCTTTGAAGAAGATTGAATTTAAAAGATAAAAATGAGGAGGGGTTTAATTTGAACATCATAAAAACATATACAGTGGTCCCTCGGTTAACGAACACAATTCGTTCCACAGAGTTGTTAGTTAACCGAAAATTTTGTTAACCGAATCTATTATTTCAATAGGATATTGGGTAATTGGTTCCAACTCACAGAAAAAGTACATACAAAGTACTGCATACCAGTAATAGAATTAACAAAACAATATAAACTAAATACAGTACTGTACTGTACAATAATACATAAAAAACAATAGAATACTATACTATATTTTAACTTACTTTGAGGTGTGTATGTCGTATTACCGGCAGCTTTGTTTACATACCAAACAGCTGATTGTAGAGGCAGTCGATGATGACATGCCATATTCTTCACAGAGTGCATTTTTTCTTCATGTTTCATAATAATTTCTGCACTGTATATTATCAATATGTTAACTAAATTTCAGAATGACCAATACAAGAGTAATTTTAATGTAAAAATGCAAAAATATTCAAGAGACCAACAAATCGATGTTCACCCCACTGTAAACAAAGTTAAACTGAGAAGCATTGTTGGGTGAGTCAATCAGCTGATTGGCGCACAAAAACTGTTCCCTGTACTGTCTATATTATCAATATGTTAAGTAAATTTCAGAATGACCAATAATTTTTATATAAAAATTGCAGAAATATTCAAGAGACCAACTTTCTTGATATTTACTTCACTAGAAACGAATGTAAACATAAAATCAATTACTGTACAAGTATTGGCGGATAGCCGATCAGCCGATGCTCACAACAAAACGTGTTTGTCGTAAGGATTTCGTTAATCAAAGTTTTGTTCGTTAATCGAACTGAAAATCCTTATAGGAGCTAATTCATTAACCAAAATATTTTTAATCAAACCGTTCGTTAACCGAGGGACCACTGTACCCTGTACAGTACTATACAGTAATAAAAAATATAAATAATGAATACTATACTATGGAACACAATTTCATTCCATTACCAGATACAGTATTCATTTACTTATACTGTACAGTATTCATTACTGTACATAATTTACCATGGCACTCTAAAGGAAGTAAATAAAGGATCATATAAAGTACAGTACCATACCAAATACAGTACTATACTGTACCACAGAAGATGATTTTAGAAATCAATACATATACAGTGGTCCCTCGGTTAACGAATTACCTTCCATAAGCATCTCCAATTCGGTTAACGAACAAAAATTCGATTAACGAAATTCGCACGAAATCATGTCAACATGTTTTGGCTTGCTCACCGGCTGGAAGATTAGTCCGCCAATACAGTAATTGGTTCTAGGGCTTATATTCGTTTCCATTGGAGTAAATATCACGAAGGTTGTGTTATTCAATATTTTTCTAAGTTTTATATTAAAATTATTAGTCGTTTTAACACTTATTTTACAAAATTGCAGTACAGGGAACTAATTTTTGGTGCACCCATCAGCCACTTCACTCACCCACCAAGGCGTCAGTTTGTGTCTCTGTGGAGGAAACATCTTGCTTGTGGGTCTCTTGAACACAGAGTATTTTTGCATTTTTACATTACAATTACATGTATTGGTCATTCTGAAATTTATTTAACATATTGACAATATATAGTGCAGTGCAGTGTTGATTTAAAGAAAATAATCTTGAATTACACCTAGCGAACTTCAAATTTTATTGGTGAAATGACAGCATCAAGCATGGGGTGATTTCTCTTCCACCCCCACTTCCTTCTCTTCTCCCTTCTCCTCCACCCCCACTTCTAATTCCCATCATCATCATCATCATCAACCAGGAGCCTTCTACATACACACATACATACTTTGCATGTACTTTTCGGCGAGCTGGAACCAATTACCCAATATCCCATTGAAACAATGGATTCGGTTAACAAACGACCTTCTGGAACGAATTGTGTTCGTTAACCGAGGGACCACTGTATCTAAATAGACTTTCCATGAGCTGAATGATATGTTTCATCATCATTTTGTTGCCACTGTTGCAAAACATTATTTTCCAAATTAATCCATCCACATACAGTAGCTATTAGATTCCTGGACCAAAAGTTATTTAATACCACTGCTATAGTGCCCTTAATACAGTATTGTGATGAAGAAAAAAATGTAACTAAGTGTGATTTAGAAGGAACAGACCAAAATTTAGCAGTGCTCAGAGCCATTTCTAGTAAAATCAGACACATTTCAGTTGTGATTTTCTTTCCTCCACACACTGCGGCTGCAATCTACTCAGGTGTGTACAGCCTAGTGAAAGCCATATTGGTGATCCGTCAAAAGAGAATGGCATTCAAGGTGACAGAGAAAATGGGAGTTCAAGATAGTTTTGAAAATCTTAGAGAGGGATGAAGTTTGGGCAATGGGGAAATAGTTGGAGGGATTAGAATGGTCACCATTCTTTGGGATGGGCTGAACCAAGGCATGCTTCCAAGAAGAAAGAAAAGTTTGGGTCTTGAGGCAAAGGCGAAGGGGACGAGCAAGCACAGGGGCCAGAGCTTCAGCACACTCCCTCAGAACACGAGGGGGTATTCCGTCCGGTCCATGTGCCTTACTCACATCCAACCTGGATAACACACACCAGCAACCCTACGAGTGGAGATTACAGGAAAGTGCATAGGTTCAGTAGGAGGAGCAGGGGTAGGAGGGATAGAGTTGGAATCGTCTAAGGTGGAGTTAGAGGAGAATAAGGTGCCAAAGAGATTGGATTTGTCAGGGGGAGAGTTGGCTATAGAGTTATCAGGTCAAAAGAGAGGAGGAAAAGAGGGAGTGCAGAAGTTATTACAGATGTTTTTGGTTAAGAACCAAAAGGATTTACTAGAGGAAATTAGTAAGGACATCGGTCTTTCTTTTTATAAAATTCCACTTGGCCTTACGAAGAATAGCCTAACAACGATTCCTAGAAGTAATGAAAGAGGAGTGGGTAATAGGAGAAGGAGATAGTTTCATAGTTTGATATGATCTATCTCTCTCCCTGTAAGCAAGAGAGCAGGAGCGATTGTAAAGTGAAAGTTTTGGTAGAAGACGGGATAAATGCACTCATACCACCCTGTATAACCCCAGCAATGCTGTCACCACATACTAAGGCATCCCGAGTGGAAAAGCAACAGTCATCCCAAGGAAAGTCGGTGAAGAATTCTCACAAGGATTGCCAGTTTGCCCGGTCCGACTAATTACCTAAACGTACCCAAATGTAGCCAAATATAGCCGCAATGAAGTCAAATAATGGTCCTACATGAATAAATCGGACTGCCAATCACTTCTCGACTAGTATTTGGTGTCAGAAAGTCACAAAAAATTGGAAAACTTACTTTAATCTGAGTTAATAGATCGCGTGCATGTACCGAGGGAGCGAGGAATTACCCAAATGTACCCAAATGTAGCCGGAATGAAGTCAATTGATGGTCGTACAAGCGTAATTCGGGCTGTGAATCACTTCTCGATTATTATTTGGTGTCATAAAGTAAAAAAAAATTGGTAAACTTAATTTAATCTGAGTTGTGTTGTGTTAGGTTAGGTTAGATTAGGTTAGGTTAGGTACATGCACTTGATCTATTAACTCAGATTAAATTAAGTTTACCAATTTTTTGTGACTTCGTGACACCAAATACTAGTCGAGGTTAGGTTAGGTTAGGTTAGGTACATGCACTCGATCTATTAACTCAGATTAAATTAAGTTTACCAATTTTTTGTGACTTTGTGACACCAAATACTAGTCGAGAAGTGCTTGGCAGTCCGATTTATTCATCTAGGACCATTATTTGACTTCATTGCGACTACATTTGGGTACATTTGGGTAATTCCTCGCTCCCTTTGTACATGCACGCGATCTATTAACTCAGATTAAATTGAGTTTACCAATTTTTTGTGACTTTGTGACACCAAATACTAGTCGAGAAGTGATTGGCAGTCCGATTTATTCATCTAGGACCATTATTTGACTTCATTCCGGCTATATTTGGCTACATTTGGGTACATTTAGGCACATTTGGGTAATTAGTCGGACCCCAGTTTGCCTTCTGATAGTGCCATAATTGACGTTTAGAGGGGGGTGGGGGAGGTGATCGTACCCAGTTTGATTTAATAGAAATAAGATTGTGATCAGAAGACCCTAAGTGGGTAGAGATTGAGTATGAATAGTGTGAGGGGATAGAGGTAAAACAAAGATCAAGAATGTTAGCAAGTTGACCGTGTCAATCAGGAACTCGTGTACGGTGTTTTATTATTTATTCCAAATTATTAAGTAAGGACAAAGAGAGTGCCTCAGCTCCACCTGGGTCATCCCTTGCAGAGCCAAGCCACTCTCTGTGATGTACATTGAAATCCCCTCGGTAGAGGGTCTCGGTGTTGGGGTGTGTAGATAGCAACGACTCATGGCAAGAAGCAAGATAGTCAAAGAGTTCCAAATAGTTGGTAGAGTTTGGAGAACAGTATAGGAAACAAAGAAAAATAGTCATCATTGGAAGAGATATTTTGAGCCAGAAGACAACAAAAAGGGGAAGATTCAAGATCCGTGAGTCGAGCTATAGGTGTAAGTGTGTTGCAGTAGGCGCATACACCTAACCTAACAGGTTAGGTGAGGTTTAATTTAGAAATAAGCATGTTTTAACACATTTACACAAACTAAAACAGTGTCCACTATAAAACACAGTGAAATTGCATCATTTTCATAATCGTTTTCTATGAAAAATCGGCTGCATATCAGTCATCAATAATTACAGATCTTTGTTTACATGTCAAGAAAGGTAAGGCATGTTTATTACGATTTATATTGAATTGAATTCATTCATTTTTTTTAAAGACGCTGTTTGGACTATAGTAAGAAAATTAAAACGACAATGCACAGGTTAGGAAGTTAGGTGAGGTTTAGGTAGGTTAGTTAAGGTTAGGCCAGATTCTAATAGGTTCTGTACTTTCTCGCTTCCATTTTTGTGTACAGTATCGTGCAAGTACTCTGGTATCTCCAAAAATTTTGGTTCAATTACATTAGTTATTTCTGGTGCTGTCTCCTCCAGCTTTACCAAAGTTCTTATTAATTTTCTTGGTGAATTTATAATCTTACTTTGGTCTTTCTTTCGCTGTTAGTAATATGTATTTCATAATGTTTAGACAATTCTAAGAATTTTTCTTCTATGATATTTCTGCCAGAAAATAAGGCTAACCGAGATATTAATTTTTCAATATTATTAGATTTGCTCAGTTACAAGTGTCGCCATTTGTTGTTTATGTCTTGCGGAGAAGGTCTGAACCCCCCCTCAGCCAGTGCTCCTTACCTCCGTCTTCGCTTCTTAAGCATCTACAGCGCATGTGCAGAGGTGGTGTGGGAGTTTCTTATTGGCTATAGCGATAGGAGATTATTATTGGGCAAGAGTTTTTGTCTTTGCAAATGAACAATGTGTGGGTGTGTTAAGAGTGGAGATTTTAATTTTGAGTACCAGATATGGCTGAACAGGTGGAAGAGCTGTGCCTAAATTGTGCTAAAAATTATTTAACATCAATTGCAGTTTCATCAGAAAAATAGAAGCAATTTCTTTTTATAGAAAAGACAGTGTATTACCGAACAACATTCTTTGTCCAGGATGTGGTGTCATGAACAAAGGGAGGTTGGGGGGGATGGGGGGGCTCAAGTTAGGCTTTGTTGGTTGGTTGGTTGGTTGTTATTTTATTTATGTGATTTACTCGAGAAAAAAATCCAACTTTTTCCGTTAAGATTGTTGGGGGGGGGGGATCTCAAAACTAGTGATTTCCGGAGAAATGAATATCAAATTCGCTCAAAACTCATCAAATACCATAGGAAAAACATATTTCTTATATCAAAAGAAGGACCGGTGCCGGATGTAAACAAATCATGGCAACACTTCTGACTGAGGAATTCTAATAATATTGAAAAATTAATATCTCGGTTATCCTTAATTTCCGGCGGAAATATCATAGAAGAAAAAATGTCTTAGAAGTGTCTAAACATTACAAAATACATATTAAAAACAGCGAGAAACACCGGTGTAAGACTATAAATTAAACATTTCTTAATCTCTTCTTGGTTGATCTACTTAAATGCTTTTCAATGTTTGAATGCCCACAATGTCTATCTACATTACATGAGGATCCCATGTCAACTCATAAGACATACCTACATACCAATAAATGAATCTTACAGACAATATCACCAGTATGTAATCAAGACATGAGATGACAATAGAGGTTCAAGAATAACTTAAATTCTGAAAACGATCTGTAAATTTATTCTGGTCTATTGAAACCGATATAGGCCTTGCTATATTAAGCCTACTGTGGAAGAGGTCAGTAATAAGTTGGCAATCCATTGTTAATATATGAAAGGTTATTTTCAACTCCTTTTACAGTGTTATTCTCTCACTTAATATTTTCAGTGACACCACGAGGAATAGTATAGAGTATAGTACAGTAACACTGCACTGCGGTGGGCCATGCCTGCTCCACACACCTCGCCCTGCTGTCATATTCACTATAACCACCCTTGACAATCTCGATATTTAACAATGAAACATTAAACACTTATCATATCACCTCAAATACTAAAAAACATGTGTACGAATGACATGACTTACTTGTAGTCACAATATATGGGGAATTAACGTTGTTGTGTTTTCCAAACCTGCGGCCTTAACACTGTTACCAGTGTGGCAACTGAACTGATAAAATAGGAAAACAAAATACAGAATGATATACTAGTTATAGATATATATGCCAAATTTAGGTTCAATAATACGCACCGAAATGCAAAAAACAAGTGCAATAGTAATTTTTTTAATATTTTAATTCATATATTTTCTAATATTCACTACAAAAATAGTAATTTAAAAAGACAAATTTACAACACAACTCTGTTCTGGCATTACTGAGAACGTATTGATAGTGAATACGGTACCAAAGTATGTATATTCTTCTATAAGTTTTATACAAAAGACACATAAATAGTTTGATTTAAATTCTACATAACTTATGAGTAATTCTACCAATTATTTTTAATGGTAATAATTCAATTCAATTTAATGATTTTTAATCCTACAAGTGCCCTGTGAGCAATAAAAAATTGGTTAAACAAATGCACTCATACCTCAGTCGTTATTAATACATAAAATAATGTAGTACTACATAAAGTTATACGTAGTGGTAATACGGTATACTGTACCACGGACTATAACATCTTTCCTTGAAGAGAGTTGTCATGTTTCAACCCGACCTTTAAACTAAATGAGTCCTGAGGAAAACTGCAGTACAGTACTTTTACTTTTATCCTCTTCACCACTGATCGGCTCGTTAGCCGCCCGGGCAATCGGTCACGTCTCTGTCACGTACTGTTGGCAAGTACTGGGCATGCACCGGCTCCTGAATGTACCTGAACCCGCTTCAGTGTTGGTCAAGTCTTGTCTTGAAAGAGCTCACACTCGGTGCCGTCACAATACTTTCTGGTATATTGTTCGAATAGTTTACAACTCTCACTCCGAAAAAGTTTGCCCTCACAGTTTTCTGGACTTAGGCTTCTTCAATCTTGAGCTGTTGTAGTGGATTTCTCCCCTACAAACGCTGTTTGTCGCTGCATAGCCGACCCCACGAATTCTCCTGTGTATGCCTCGTGGTCTAGGTCAACCAGCGCCGCCCACGGAGCGGGAGTCAACTACTAAGCCACGCCTACCCCCCGCTATTTAAGACCTGACCTCGTGGTGATCGCTCTTTCTACCTACACCAACCAGCCAGCAACACCTCCTCCGCCGCTGCCTGGCGGCCCTCGCTCCCGCCGGCGAGCATGGCGACCCACAAGCTGTCCTCCTCTGAGCACCCTCACCAACCAGCTCTCTCTACATCACGCTTGTAACCATGCTGCCTTCCCAGCACCAAGCTGCATTGTTCATCCAATACAACATGTATACAGAGAGCACATTGTGAGTTTCCTTTCTCCATCCCATCCTGAGTGTGAACCCAAACAACCCGTACCCCACAAATGGTGACCCCGGAGATTCGCACTCACACAGGATGGAGGAGAAACAGATCACTCTCCCAGTCTTCAAGCAACATGGAAGACTGGCTTATCCACCCAGAGGCAGCTCTCATCGGCTCTACAGCTACTGTCTCTACACCGAAGGTTAGACACCCTAGAGCAGCACTGTTTCTCTAAGCAGACACCAGCTCCTCTTCCTGCCCCAAGCACCACGTCCTACCGACCCCAACTCACCCGTCCTGCCTCAGACGCCGCCCCGGCCCAGCAGTACCCCCTGTCGCTTCTCCTGACGCGGCCCCTGCTTCTGAGTGCGGACCCACACACCACTCTTTTCTCCCTCAGGTACTCCCTGCTACTGTCCTGCACCCTGCTACTGTCGTGGACCCAGCTGCTGTCACGAGCCCTCATCCGCTTCTGCTGACGCAGCCCTTGCTTCTGACCCAGGCCCACACACCCCAGCAGGCGCATCTGACGACTCTGTACCTGTTGCGAGGGAAGCACAACATTCATCGCCTCCACACACCCTCTTCTCCCACAGATATTGTGTATCTAGACAGTTGTCTCTAGCGACCGGCTCATCCACGCCATCGCCGTTGTCTCACATGAGGCATGCACCGCCGTTCTGCCTCACATATGCTATGCAACCCTGCAGACAACAAGTCTCCTACACCGCCTGGAGGGAAGGGGGAGTATTGTAGTGGATTTCTCCCCTACAAACGCTGTTTGTCGCTGCATAGCCGACCCCACGAATTCCCTTGTGTATGCCTCGTGGTCTAGGTCAACCAGCGCCACCCACGGAGCAGGGGTCAACTACTAAGCCACGCCTACACCCCGCTATTTAAGACCTGACCTCGTGGTGATCGCTCTTTCTACCTACACCAACCAGCCAGCAACACCTCCTCCTCCGCCTGCCTGGCGGCCCTCGCTCCCGCTGGCGAGCATGGCGACCCACAAGCTGTCCTCCTCTGAGCACCCTCACCAATCAGCTCTCTCTACATCACGCTTGTAACCATGCTGCCTTCCCAGCACCAAACTGCATTGTACATCCAATACAACATGTATACAGAGAGCACATTGTGAGTTTCCTTTCTCCATCCCATCCTGAGTGAACACCAAACAATCCCACACCCCACACTGTGACCCCTTGTGGGGCGAGCGTCCGCCAGCTCCAAGTAAAGACACTCGACCGAGTAGTGCCCCCTGAGATGCTTATACACCTCAACTAGGTCACCCCTTGCCCGTCTGAAGTATAAGCTAGGCAAGTTCAGGCGCTCCAATCTCTCAGGGTAGCTGAGATGCCGAAGTGCAGGCACCAGTCTGGTGGCCCTCCTTTGAACATTTTCAACCAACTGACAATCGCTAGCATATCTCGGGGACCAGACGGGGTGACAGTACTCCAGATGGGGAAGCACTTCGCTCTTGAAGGTCGTAACGAGGGACGGACCGTCTAGATATCTGAACGACCTTCTTATAAGACCCAATAAATAATCTGCCCGATTTACCTTCTTCTCACAATGGCCCGAGAACTAAAGCTCATTGTCAACATACACACATAGGTCCTTCTCATATTCAATCTCAACTAGTGCAGTTTCTTCATCCCGTTGGGACTTATGATACGCCTCCTTACCGTTGGAACGCCCCAGGTGCATTCTCTTAAACTTCGTGACATTGAATTTCAGCAGCAATTTCTTCGACTATTCTTGGAGCTCACAGAGATCCTTCTGCAGCTCTTCACAGTCCACATGGTTCTTGATTTCCCGAAATAACATGGCGTCATCGGCAAACATTTGTATGGAGGAGTGTACGTCAGGCATGTCATTTAGAAACAAATAAACATCAGCGAGCCCAATACACTGCCCTGTGGTACCCCGTCTGTGACAGGTACAGATGATGATTTTGTGTCATTAATCACCACAGACCTGACACCAACTGACTCTTAGTCCCCTCCCTCTGCTGCCACGACTGGGCGAGGTGTCGCTGCTTCCACCAATCAGGGTACAGTCCCACCGCCTTCACGTAAGCTGTGTCTAGCCACAGCACCTTTCTCTCCTACAACTCCCTTCCATCCTCCCTTTATCCTTCCACTGAACCTTCTTACCCCCGTCACTTGCCTTTTTCCGTTCCGTTTCGTGAAGGTCATTCTACTCCAAGCTCTCAAACTGACAAGACCTTGTAGTGGATTTCTCCCCTACAAACGCTGTTTGTCACTGAGTAGCCGACCCCACGAATTCCCCAGTGTATGCCTCGTGGTCTAGGTCAACCAGCGCCGCCCACGGAGCGGGGGTCAACTACTAAGCCACGCCAACCCCCGCTATTTAAGACCTGACCTCGTGGTGATCGCTCTTTCTACCTACACCAACCAGCCAGCAACACCTCCTCCGCCGCTGCCTGGCGGCCCTCGCTCCCGCCGGCGAGCATGGCGACCCACAAGCTGTCCTCCTCTGAGCACCCTCACCAACCAGCTCTCTCTACATCACGCTTGTAACCATGCTGCCTTCCCAGCACCAAGCTGCATTGTACATCCAATACAACATGTATACATGAGAGCACATTGTGAGTTTCCTTTCTCCATCCCATCCTGAGTGTGAACCAAACATCCCATACCCCACAACCTCTTCTCAACAAGCTCCTCTAAAACACAGCAACTCTCCAGCACCTTACTGCACTGTACATACAATATACGTAAAGGAAACGCTATTATGAGTTTCCTTTCTCACCTCCATCCTGAGTGTGTATGTGGTCCTAAGAAAGAGAAAATTGACACATAAGAAAAATAACTTTGACTACTGCGCCACATGCATTACTCTACACACATTATATATATACAGTTGGGTCTCACTTTACGCGGTTAATGTAACCCACAGGGTACCGCGGAAAGTGAGAAATGATTAAAGTGAATAACATAACATATGGGATTAATTGAAATAGAGACCGGACCGACCCCCAAACTCCACTTTTTGACGACACAAAACTATGGTGTAGTAAAAATTTTATCTTAACTTTATGATGGTATGCGCAAACAAGTAATATAGAAGAGGTTAGGTTAGGAAAAATAAAGGTTAAGTTAGGAAAAATAAAGGTTAGGTTAGGAAAACTAAAAGTTAGGTTGAACACTTTCTAGTAGAAGAGATGGGTCGGCATACGGGGATGGAGGCTGGTTCCGAGGCAGAGGGCAGGCTACTGGCCCTCAGGTGAGTCACCATCACTGTCATCCACACTTGTCAGGGCCTCCCTGACAAATCCCTCAGTCATCTTCACTGTCTCTACCTCTGTCACTGCCACTGGCTTGGGCTGGCTGTGGTGGGTTGCGGGCGAAGAACTCGGTTATGCTTTGCTGACGGCTGGTGTTTATGTTGTCGTGATAAACCTTGAAGTAGGGCTCCATAGTCTACAACACCTGGGTAGTGAAGATTTCATACCTGTTTGCGTCATGGTCGTCGGAAAGGAGGAGCTTGATTTTCTCGACACACTCGATGGCACCCCTAACATTACTATGGGATAAGCGGTGTTCTTCTTGGGATGACGCACCACCTGCCTCTTCACTGACGTCATCATCATCTACCATCTCGTCGGTAGTCACATCAGGTTCCATTATCACCTCCAGGATGTCGTCGTTGGTGGTCTCGGAGAAGCCTGCAACTGTAACACTCTGCGCAGCTTCTCTGGCAAGGTCCACTGCTACTGCAACA